TCAATCTTTTTTCTTTTTTTTTTTTTTGGGTAATTTGTGTATTCGAAGTGTATTTCTTCTGCTGACACACATAAAAGTGATGAGAAATCAGGTGGATTGAGTAATTGAAAAGGAGTTTTGTGTATTTTAGCTTGGACTCAATCCAAATGTTATTGGATTTTTGGTGTTGATAAAATAAGAAGAATAAATCATAGTGTTTGAATTATATTGAAAGTTCACCATGAACCTTCTTGTTTGTTCATATTCCTAAAGTAAAAAGAAAAAGAAAACAAAAGAAAGAATCCTTTCCCTGGTAATGTTATGTAATTACCAATGCTGAAGTTCATTGTTCTACCAGAAAGACTTTGCATGTCTCATCAGCCTTGGTATACATAAAAAATTGAATAATATTTAAGTGTTGATCAGTGTTGATCAATCACTGGCCATCGTTAAAATTTGACCGAGTGTCTTTTAAAATTTTTATTTTTCAAAAATTTAAAGAGCTGACAAATTTTAAGAGTAAACATAAAGTCGGCATCCAAATATTGTTTAAAACAATTTTACCTAATTTCTATAAATTTGTCGACTCACTAGATGAATTAGGCCATCTAAGAGCAAAAAATAATTTTAATTTTTCCTCCAAATTTGTAAGGGGGATCGATAATGATTAACTAATTCCTCTAAATTTCTGTTAACTCATTCTGCTAAATCGTTAAATCACATGGGCGAAGTATCAAGTACTTGTACCAAGAGAGGGATATATATAAGAGACTCAATTCTCCAATAAGCATTTGTACACTGAATAACTTGAGGCGGATATCGAAACGAACCAAATGCTCCAATAAGCACCAAAATAAAATGTGATCAAAGGTACGAGTTTGTCTAATCCCTTGCCTTGCCTCTTTGGCCATGTTTTTTTGCTTTGAAAAAAAAATAAAAGATACATAGATAACCTGTGAACTATTCTTATCTTCTGTGCTCTGATATCAACATCTCTACTCTACAATTCCTCTTCAAAACCCCAAACTAAGTTGGACAAATTTCTAGAGGTAAACCTTGTAGATTACACTACAGTTATGCACGATTCATTGGTACAATATGCACAAAATTCATTAAATGTTCTTACCCCTTTTTTGGCTTGAATCTGTTCTTGCACAAATAACATGTCGTGCTCAGCCGCTAAAAAGGAACTTCTGTGATTAGAATTCAAGAAGCGACTCCACCAAATGGATGATCAGCTCGCATGACTTGCCTCGAAATACCTGTTAGGGTGTGCCTCTCTCAAGTCCCTCGTTAGGTGCAAGTTGTGGAATGCTAAAAATGCTTTTCATATTTGGGGTGACTTAACAAGAACAATCAACGATTACTGCTTGCTTCCGGAACCTGACCCACTCTGGCCTGCCGGAGTCTTCGCCAGATAAACTTGTTTCATTTGCTTCTCATCCTGTTGTCTTGCATTAATCATACTTACATTTGGAGCTCTATTGATCCATTTGTGAGGTGGTGAAGGAAGAGCGTCAGTAGCCAGGACAAAATTTTGTTGGTTTGCTGCTGAATTTCCAATGCTCGGCATCTTCAGCAACGCCACTGGAGGAAGGCTGGGAGTTAACACGTCAGCAGACCGATTCTTCACACTCTCTTCAATTGTCAAAGCGGACATTCCAGTCCTCACGTTGTTGTATCGTTCCTGATGCTGTACTTTATCGTTTGCTCTGAAACTTTGCCTGTCGCCTGGCATATTGTTTGATGAGTGGGGATATCTTGGCCTAGCCGATACACCATAGTTATTATTATGGTGCCCATAGTTATAATTCGGCTCTTCACCGTACCCAGTTTCGTAACCTGCAGGTCCAACCTGTCGTGGTCTAGAAAACATAACATGACCCGGCAAATTCCGAGAATAGGGTTGTTCAAACATTCCCGACGATGAGCCATTAAGTTTGATATTAAGAGTGTTCTTTACAAGACGATGAGCTGCTTCTCCCAATAGAGGACCAGCTATAGCTCCAGGTACTTGAGGCCTGTAAAAAGAGATGCATTTTAAAAAAAATACAACTAATCGTCCCAGAAGTTGAAATGTTCATTAAAAAGGTTCAAGCATCCTGATTGAACTCAAACAACTAGAAATATATATATATTAAAATATAAAAGATAGAACTACAAGGACTACCAAGTATTTCAAGGTACCTCCCCTCTCTTGAGTAATCTTACACAAGCCTAAACCATACCAAACAATTGTCTTTTTGCAATCCTTTCCCACTAACCCTATTTATAACAAATCTCCATTTCTCCAACTTCTCTAACTGATTACTAGTATACTCTTTAATGCGCTAGCAATATTCCTAATTATATCCTAATAGCATTCATATCACATCTACCACATCTAGGGCCTTAGTAGAAGGTATAATTGTGTCAACAAGCTTGAAAACTATCTCAGGTGGATTTTCTAAAATATGTTAAGAAATTTAAACTGTGTAGAGTTGTCTTGATCACATTACTTCTAGGGCCTTAGTAGAAGATATAAATTTATAATTGTGTCAACAAGCTTGAAAACCATCTCAGGTGGATTTTCTAAAATATGTTAAGAAATTTAAATTGTGTAGCATTGTCTTGATCACATTACCTCTTAAAAGCTTTGGTCGTTTATACAGTAAAGGTGAGGCAAAGTTAGTAACACTATCTAAACTAAGGAAATAGCAATATCACCTTTCTCTGCCATGATAGCGCCGGGAACTATTGTCTTCGTGCCATAATGTCGGGAACGGTTTGATATCCACGGGACTTACAACCTGCAAAAACAACAAAGCATCAAATTATAGGCAAATTTCAAATGCTTATATAGCTGATTTAGTGGCAAGGAAATGATCATTACACGGGCATCCTAAAAACTTCTGTATTGAATTCATGTATCTTTTTCACATTTGTTTCAGATATATAATACTAAAAAGAAATTCAATGAGAAGCTAGGACTCGTATCGGACGCACCTTTTTGGGCATGACTACGCCCTTTGGAGGTTTGGGGATGTGTTTGTGATTCTGAGGATTAAGATATGTAACATTTCTACAATAAAAAGAATGTGTGAGTGAGAGAGAGAGAGAGAGAGGCCCTTATCAGTCTCAGTATATCAAAGTGGAAAAGGGACTTACACGACTTGATTACACTGGATATCAGGAAAACCGTTGATTGGTGATGGGACAACATTATGGAATACATTTCTCTCACACAACCAGAGGAATCCATTCATCCCACCACTGCAAAATGCACACAACAAAAAAGGGATTAAGAATCAAATTGAGCACGAACAGGGATATATCGGGAATTTGATTGAATATGTAATGTGAAACTAAACCTACCTGACATTAGTGTCAATCGCCCAACAAGTTCTTTCAGGTGGAGGTAGTTGACAAGTAACTTGGAAATAAGAGAAAATCTGTGCAGACAATGGATGGGTACAATGTGTATAAAGCAGATCAAGCATCACACTATTCCGATTCTTCTCTTCTTCCTGCATCCAAATTGCAGATTAGTAATCTAAGCATTCAAATTAAATTGAGAACACGAGAAAGTAACTTTTATCTTCTTCACAAACTAGATCAAAATGTGGTTTGATTAGAATATGAAAATAGAAGCTACTCAGAAACTAAAATTATGAACCACTTCACTACACGTCATAGAGTCATCGAACCTGAGAATTGCTAGCTTATGAATCAGAAGAAAAATATCAAAAGAATCGAGTTTCAGAAAGATATTTGATGATCAACTGACGCTCACAAAATATTTTTAAAATACAAAACCAGAAACTTGAGTCAGAAACAGATAGTCGAAAAGAGTAGCCTAAAGAACACAGGACAAGCGTCCAGGCAGAGTGAAACAAAAAACCTCCAGCCTAAAATAATAAGAAAAGTAGGAAAATTACAAAAATATTTATGTTATACACTCCAATTAGAAACTATAATGACACTGGCTATCTAAAAAGTTTCCGACACCACAAAATATTTTGAAGAACTTGTTTACCACCCCCAAAGGGAAAAGAGTTTGTACAGCAATCAATAAATGAAAATAAATATATCCGACGTGTTAGTTTAGCACCGTATAACAAATGGCTCTCTCCACTCATAAAACTCAACAAGAATTTCACCATCACTAGTTTCGAAAGGCCTAACAACCAAAATTTATTTAATAATTTTCACTTCCTAATTGAAAAGTTGATTGTCATGTAGTTGAGTTATGGCCCTTTTAATTAACTTAATAATTATAAGGCTAATAGTATGTTAATCACCGTTAAAGAGCCTTCAAGTCTCCTAGTTTGAGCAAGCAACTTTCTCTCATCAATGAAAGGCAATTTGGCAACACCCTGGATTTCACAAGGGAAAAAGATTCGATGGTTTTCATCAGTTTAGCAAATATCAAGATAGATTCTTGAATAAATAACAGCTCAGAATATTAGAAATGATAATAATAAATAAATAAGTTTAAGCTTATAGCTCAATAAAAGTGCAAAAAACTTAAGTACCTGCCATTGAAAACGCTTGCCATTCATGTCAATCTCAAAATCTATTCACAGAAAACAAATACCATTTAAGAAAGAAAAATTACAAGAAAACAATTATTTAAAAAAAACGCCGATTAAGTGGTTACCAGAAGGATAAAATTCAAGGATAGGAGATGATGGATCTGTCATCAACTTTCTGTATTTCTCAGGTAGAGCACTCGAACTGTAAGCATATAAGCAATAAGCATAATGCAAATGAAGACAGTTGATAAGTTAAACTACACAGATATATGTAGAAGATATGCTGGAAAAAATAGAGAATCTTTAGAGACAATATTAGAACAGGAGAGTGTGGGCTTTAGCTAGGTTTCTGACTTCTAATCAGTCTATGGGGAGAGTATTCTAATATACTCCTTTTTTTATTAGCGTCAAGTGGAGAAAATTTTGGCAACTTCAGTCTTTTGTTGGCTTAATCCTTGAACTTTTCAAGGTTTCAATGAAAAGTTCTTTTCGTTTCTTGTAAACAAAAGTCAGAAAATGGTTTCATCTTTAATAAGCAATATATAACTTCAAAAAAACTAGCAGGCTAAAAGGCACAAAATTAAAAAGAAAAAACCTTGCAGCTGGTAGAGTTCCCATCAGTTGATCAAAAGGTTTAAATGGCTCTCCAATGAAAAAGGTTATCTCCAAATCAGCCAAGTTTTTTAGGTCAGAGGCAAAAGGCGAATAATGATAAGGATAATACCTGAATCAAAGAAACAAGTTTCAAAACAACATGAGTACTGCCCATTGCCATACAACAAAATACACAGATACCAAACAGCTAATAGGCCATCATTTTTAATCTAATGACGGCTTTCATTCAAGACTCGAAAACAAATATGTAGCTAGGACATTGCATGCATATCCTCCGAAAATTATTTGACAGTTACTTTAAAACCAAAAGTAGATATGGCTCTCCCAATTGTCAAAATAAGCAAATGAAATTTACCACTGCCAAGAGCAAACTCCTGAATAGTAATATCGACAGACCCAACATAAACCCTCCACATATTTCAGGACCTGCACAAAATATAAATCCATTTGTTCATCAACACTACGTAGGGGATTAATTGCATATACTTGTTAAAAATATTGATGAAGAAAATTTTTCTGCATCCAAATTCAATAATAGTTGCCAATTTTTTATGGATTAAAGAGCATTGCAAGTTCCAAATCCAATAAGTGCGCATCAAGCACACAGAAGCAAAATTGAACGTTTAATACAGACTCGCCACAAGAGTATTGGGAAAATAGGGGACTGAAAGCATTTATCTAACCATTCCTAAACCAAAAATTAATGCACCTCGTTTCTCTTCCCCATGGTACATATTCTTAGGACAATTCTGCCAACTTCAAAAGTTTTTCTTTCTGCTACTTCACATTTTACATCCAACATTATAACAATATCGCACACCTTATGCTCAGAAATCACAACTTCTTTTATTTTATTTTTATGAAATTCATAACAAGAGATTATTCGATGATCCTAAAATAATTCATACTTAGATAAGAAGCTAGTTAAATATCTAGAATATTCATGTAATGGGTCCAAGCGGTTCAAACCCATAATCACAATTTTTTCCCCACGCGTTAAAGTTTGGGGAATAGCAAAAATTCAAAGATGTGTGGAATTTAAATTTTGGATATATGGATGGATGATATATTATATACAGACAGAGAGAGTGACCCACTGAGAAGTATATCCTCCAATAAATAGACAAAAAAATAGTAATAACAGCACAAGCAATGGGCTTACCACATCTTGTTTTATTTCAGCGATATGTTCTGGACTTGAAGCATTGAACTTCTCAGCATAATACCTCCCCTTGTAGCCAGGCTCCCCCAACTTAATCTGAAAGAATGGCAAAAAATCCAAGACCTACATTTAGACATCTATCAAAATATGTGAATTTTTTGCTTTTATTTTTCTTTGGATAGATTCATTGATGGAAATACAGAAGGGAGGGAAATCGAAACATCCCAAAGCCAAGAGATTAATTCCAATTAGCCAAAAGGCCATTTAAGCTATAGTTTCTAAAATTAGAGGAAAGGCATTTACACCAATTAAGAGCTTGTATAGAAACGGACTGATTCATAGAATCGTTAGGAATTTGTTATTCAAAGTCCAATTGTTCCTTTAGATCTGGAGGGACCATGAAAGCACTCTAAAATGCTGTAACTATAGAATTTTGTACTCTTTCTTGAAGGGATTAGCAATGGAAGGTAGTAAAAGACTGCAAATATCCACAGCGGTCTAAACATAATACGGAATTCCTATCAAATTGATAGGACTATTCTGTAATATTTGATTTATCAAGGAACTAGTACCAATAACTAAGAAAACACTAGGCCTACTCTTAGTTATTTATTGTGCTCCGCTTATTCCAAACTCATGGGTGCTAATTTCATTAAAATTCTAGAACTTTTTCCCATTTTAAACATAACTAAAACTAAACTTATATATCACATGACCAGTATAAATCATTATTTATTTTA